TAGATCCTATCTAAAAAAATTTTTACTAGAAGATGTTGTTTTGATGTTCAAATCGATGACCTTCGGATCAAGATACATGGACATGAGAAAAAAATGGATTTCAAGTTTTAGAAATAATGTATCTTGTAATACATTTTTTGAGCATCGATTTTCAACTTTTTATATATATATGCTCGATCTACATTATTTTTGAAGCTTTAAATTATATAATTAAATATAGAAAAATATTTTAATACTGTCACAAAAATTCCAAGTATTTAAACCACATTTCTCGACACTATTTAAAGGTAGGCTCTGATTTGATTGTTTTGAGAGTCGGCTCTATACGAACTGCACCCTTTATTAAAAGAACAAAAAAAATTATAATAGTTTCAAAATATAAAATAAAAAAAATATACATTGAAATCATTTATCTTTGGTACAAAGTGATCATAATTAATCTTGACCATTGGATGTGAAACCAGATGAATGTATTTATTCTATTGACAGGCTCAACCTTCAAAATAAATTTTCTCAAACTTTGTGCCACACCCAAACCATTAGATTTCACATCGGATGGTTGTACATAATTGTGAACATCTTGTATAGAAGGTAAATAATCTCATTGTTTGCAATCCCAATAAAATATATTAAAAATAGCAGAGCGGATTAAAATCGACTTATCTAATTGGCCAAGACATATCAAATATTATAAAAAGAAATATAATAATTTTAAAATATGGAATATATTTAAAACTTGTAGAGCTCATTAAAACTTGATGATCTAACTTGTCAAAATAGATCAAACATTAGTTTCAAGTCTTTAGAGTAGCTTTCGACTAAACTATCAAACTAGTCATGAGAGAAGTAAGCGGGATGTCCAATCTCAACAACTATGCTTTTATTCTCTTTTTTATTTTTATTTTATGTTCTTGCACAATATCACTCTCTACTTTTATTTGAGAGAAGTTTATATAACGCAGAGGCTCTGAACAATCAAATTTGAGCCTCTCTAAAAAATTTCACTAGACGAGGTTGTTTTGATGCTTAAATATTTTCAAATTAATCATCTCGACATCAAGATGTATAGACATGAGAAAAAAAATGATTTTAAGTTTTGGAAGTTGTGTAATTTATAACGTATTTTTGGACGGTCAATTTTCAAGATTTTCAAGTTTTTTATATATCTCTTCGATCTACAATATTTGTAAAGCTTTAAACTTTATAAATAAGTATCAAAATATATTTCAAAGTTATCACAAAGATTTTCAGTATTGAAACTATATTTATCTATAGGATTTAAAAGTAGGTTCTAATTTGATTGATTGTTTAGATCTTAGGCTCTATACAAGCCGCACCCCTTTTATTTTTACTTGCTTTCTCACTCTAATTGTCATTTTGCACTTTATCGTAAGTAATTGCATGGCAAGGCGTCGTCACATCGCAGTTACGTTGCGAGTTCGCACTCTCCTTCCTTTCTCTCTCTAAAACTTTTCTGTCTCATCTTTCATTCTCTCTCTAGCTACTTCCCACTCTCTCTCATCCTTTTTCTATGTATGGCCCACCTCATCAACTTCTCTCACGACGATCCATTGAATGCGGCCTGCAGCGCGCCTACATGGCGCATCACGTGGTCCCCAGTCCACGTGGCGGATTTCACTTAAAGGAACATGACCGTATAGCAGGACCCGCACAACACCCACTTACGAGGTAGGTTTTTGGCCTTTCACTTATGCCCGTGCTCTTTATTTTCTTCCTTTTTAGGTTAAAATCACGGATTTTTTCGGTTACTAATTAATTGGCGAAGTTTCCACAAGGCATCAAACCTTGAACAACGCCTCCACACACCATGGGGGGGGGGGGGTGGCAATCGGGTCGGGTCCAGGCACCAACTTAAGCTGACCCGGGTCTATGTTCAGGTCCGTGATTTGGAAGTGATGGGTCTAGTTTGGTATAAACTATACCAGGTCCGGTCGAGTATGGGGTTAGCGTCGACTTGCCTAAGTATAAATAAATAAAAAGTATATGAACTATTGGATTGTCTACTAAAAGATGGTTTTGTTTTTTTGTAGGTGGACGTCAATATCAATTTTGTCTTTTTAATTTTAAAATAGGGGTTATAAAGTGTCATTGAATAGACACAAAATTTTTTTTAAAAAAATATGGACTTCATAACACACCCTTAGCTACCTAATTAGATATATAATGAATTGGAATGAATGTGACCCCAAGTACAAAAGATAAAGGGTGCAGTTTGTATAGAGCACAGGCTCTAAACAATCAAATTAGAGCCTACCGGTAAATAGTATCGAGAAATGTGGTTTCAATACTAGAACTCTTTTTTATAACCTTAAAATATTTTTTCATCTTCATTTATAAGGTTTAAAGCTTCAAAAATAGTGTAGATCGAGAGATCTATGAAAATTTGAAAATCTTGAAAATTGACGGTCAAAAAATACGTTACAAAAATACACTACTTCCAAAACTTGAAATCCAATTTTTTTTCTCATGTCCATGCATCACGATGTCGAGATGATCAATTTGAGGATATTTGGGCACCAAAACAACCTCTTATAGTGGAATTTTTTTGGTAGGCTCTAATTTGATTGTTTAGAGCCTCGCCTCTATATAAACTTTTCTCAAAGATAAATGGTCTATTTCTTAACTCCATAAAATATATTTAATACAGTATAAAAATTAAATTTCTTATTTTCTTCAATTTCTATACTTGGGTTTAGGTCGGGTCTACGTCCATGCAAAACTTAGTTGGGTTGGGTCCAAGTCGGGGGCAACCTAGACTGGACCCAATAAAGACTGTTGCCACTCTTAACTATACCTCTAAACTATACTGAAAGATGCAACTTTCGTGAAAAAAGGTATCGTAATGATACAAAACTTTATTGTCACCTCTAATTATAAAATTTACGGCCTTTAAAATAGTGCAGATTGAGTAGTTATATAAATAATTAAAAAGGTTGAAAATTAATAGTCCAAATAATTTATGACGAGACGTATAGTTTTTATGACTTGAAATTATTATTTTTTTCCATATCATACATATTGAAATCCAAAGGAACAATTTGAGGGTTTTTCAACATGGGAGCACCTTAGTTTCTATAGATTTATGAAGTTCCCCTTCCTATATGAACTTTTCTATAGATTGGACCACCTTTTTCCCATAGATTTTTGAAGTGGCCCTTGCGATGGCACCTTATATAAACTTTTTGCTTAATTTATTTGGATCAAAATAACGGAGAAGAATATATTACCCCGGATTATGAAAATTTAATGGTCACACTTTTTGTCACGAAAAAGTTGATATAAGATTGCCACCTTAAAAATTCAATGAATAAAGTTGTTTTAATTTTGAAAACATATCTAGTTGATCGTCTCGATATCGAGATCTATGGATAATGACAAAAAAAAAAATTGAAGTCTAAAAAATTGTACATCTTAAAACACATTATCTTGACCTTCAAATTTCAAGGTTCTTTTATCTGTTTGATTTCCACCAATTTTTTTGGCTACAGTAAATTGCTGGTGAGGTGTTAGAGATTTTCTTGGGAGTTTAGAGTATTGTTTCAAAACCTTGAATGATAGGGCCAAGTATTCATTCACGTATCCATGTCAAATTATTGGTGTTTGAGATTTCCTCTGGAGTTTAAACTAGTGTTTCAAAACCTGGATTGATAGGGCCAAATGTTCATTTACATATCCAAGTCAAATTGTTGGATGGAGATTTGGAACGAGTATGGATAAGTGTAAATTGGTGATATATAAAAATATTTAAATAAAATAAATTAATTGAAATTGAGGTTTATGAATGGAAATTTAGAGGGAACATAAGAAAATATTTGATAAGCTTTTAAATAAATAACAAAATAGAAAATAATTTTAAAGATTTTAGAGGAGAAGGATGCTGGACATACCATCTTAGATCTTAGAACTGATAGGGTCCAAACCCATTTTCATCAAAATCGACTCATATAAAATAATTTTAAAGATTTTAGAGGAGAACGATGCTGGACAGACCATCCTAGATCTTAGAACTGATAGGGCCCAAACCCATTTTCATCAAAATCGACTCTCCAAATTAAAACGGGTGTGGTTTGTATATGACGGAGGCTCTAAACAATCAAATCAAAGTACACTGTACCTTAAAATAGTATCAAGAAATATGATTTTAATATCAGAAATTTGTGTGATAGCCTTAAAATATATTTTTATTTCTCATTATATAATTTAAAACTTCAAATATAAGATAGGTCGAGCAAATCTAAAAAAAATTTGAAAGTCTTGAAAATTGACGGTCCAAAACTTGGACATCAAAATAACTTATTTTAGTGAAATCCCACGCACTTATACCAACTTTTGCCGATTGAAAATCACCGGGTTCTAAACTACAATTTAAACTTTGGATGGGGAGACCTTGGAGGGAGAGAGGGAGAGGAGGGTTTAATTCAAGAAAAATGGAGGCCCACTTTTTAATGCTGTGGGGGTGAGAATCTCGGATACAGAGAGGGTCCACCAAAAATAGCGAAGGTTTTGGATGGTTGGTCCGCCAAAACAGCATAGATGGCTCTAATTTTGGGCGTTGCGGGACGTGAGGTGACACGACTTTTTCATTGCGGGCGTGACGTGAATGGTGTTTGCAGTTTAGAGAGAGAAACGGCCGATCTCTCGCGATTGTGGATCAGTAAATGGAAACGGATTGGGATTCTTTTAGAGAGAGAAATAAAGAGTGATTAGAAATTTTAGAGAGAGAAAAGAAGTCCGGGTTTTTTTAGAGAGAGAAAGGAGATGGAAAGGCAATGGATAGGAGAGAGAGCGTACTTTTCGACTCGTTTCCCGTCTGTTTCGTTTGACTGTCTGTTGCAGGAGCAATTTATATCGGGTCGAGGCCTTTTTTTATCTTTTCAGTTTTCACAATTCATAGATAGCGAGCGCTCTTTCTCTCTCTTAATTTTTTATTCCTATCTCTTAATTTTGTTTCTCTCTCTTATCCCTCTCCCTTTCATATATATATATTAGGCTATCCTACACTCTTCCCTTGCTTTATCTTTTACTTCGCTCGCGCCTCTCTATTGCTTGCTCCCTCCCTCTTTCCCTTCATTTTTTTCTCCTGAGTTCATTGCGGAGAAGTAGTTCGTTTCCTTTTCGTTTATTTCTCTTACTTGGATTGCAATTCTCTGCAATACGTTTTCTCTCTCTCTAAAGCCGGGACGCGAGGAAGAGAGAGGAACGAGGTTTTGCCATGGCTGTGCAGGCTCAGTACCCCTCGAATGCCTTCACTATAGATTTTCGTAACAGGTGAGCGGAGGCGAACATGCGTTTGGCTTCTTTCTCTTTCTAGGGCATTTGGAGCTCTCATGGCCCGGTTTATCAATTCTTATTGCTTAACTGTTTCTTACTGGTCGTTGATTTCACAGGACAAGGAATACTCCAATGGATGAGCTCCAGTTCCAAAACCAGGAGTATCAGACCACAAACTTGTATAGAAACTTCAATTACAGTGAGTTCAAAGAACCGGATTCAATCTTGCACTTCTTGATTCAATCTTCTTCTTTCCCTGCAATCCTTGGATTGATGAATATGCTTGTTCATCTTCTTCTCTGCAATTTCTTTACCGATAGTCTTTTGCCGTTCTGTAACAGTGGGCCAGGTCATCAATGGAACGGTTTTCAGCGACCCGGAGAGTGAACTGACTTGCAATATCTCAGGATCGAGGAAGCGAACCAGAGAAGAACCAGTGGCCTTGACTCCCTTGCAGCAGCAGCAAATCCTGAATCAGCTTCGATACGGAAATTTCATGAAGTTGCAGGAAAAATCGGGCCAGATATCGACTGGTTTAAACGTCTCTCATGAAGAAACTCGCCTTAATCAATCAATTGGTACTTCAACCAGTGGTCGCCCTCCTACCGGTACAGGGCATCCCTCTTCTCCTTTCACTCAGGAGGTCATGGCGTCTCTTTATCAGCAAAATGAGGAAATCGACGCATTAATCCGGCTCCAGGTAAAGCCAAATCCATAATTACTGTGACCTTCATGAGTAAACGGTGGATGCTTACTTTTTTTTAATCTTTTCTGGAAAGAAAAATGGCCATTGTTGATAGGAGCTTGAAGCTTGAATCTTTTTTCTCTTTTGTGTTTAAGTGATGAATCTCCATTGTTTTTAAGGTTTTTAAGGTTTTTAAGCTTGATTCCGTTCTGTTTCCTTTTGTAAATCAGTGAATCTCCATTGTTTCTATGCTTCTTTGTGGTTGAATTCCCTACTATTCATTATTTAGAAATCGGTGAAGTCTCCAACATTTCCAAGGTTTTGAACCTCTGGTTTTTGCAGAGCGAGAAAATTCGATTGGGATTGGAAGAGAAGAGGCAGAGACATTTCAGAGCTCTCCTCTCTGTTCTGGAGCAACAGATCTGGAAAAGGCTCAAGGAAAAGGAAACAGAGCTCGAAAACGTGAGCAGGAGGAACGCCGAGCTCGAAGAAAAGGTTAGGCAAATGAGCTTAGAGAACCAGATATGGCAGCACGCTGCGCGGAACAATGAATCCATGGTCTCCAACTTAAAGTCCAGTCTCGAGCAAGTCCTCTCTCAGAACATGAACATGGCAGGCCAAACCAAAGAAGGCTATGGAGACAGTGAGGCCAACACGGCCATTGCTGCCGGAGCCGATGATGCGCAGTCGAGCTGCTACAATGGAGGCATGGATTCGGAGGCTAGGGCCTTCAAGGAAAATCAGGAATTAAAGCATCGAAGAACTTGCAAAATTTGCCGGAAAAGCGAGATCTCGATCCTCTTATTGCCATGCAGGCACCTCTGCCTCTGCAAAGATTGTGAGTCCAAGTTTGATGTCTGCCCTCTCTGTAATTCTAGGAAGAACGCGAGCCTACAAATTCACTTGTGAAGACGGTTTTTGTGTCACTGGAAAATTTTGCAAATTCGAATGTGAAGACGGTTTTCAAATCGCCGGAAAATTTTGAAAAGGAGCATCGACGGCGAGGATCTAGCCGGGGAACGGCTTCTTGGTAGTCTGTCTCCGGGAAATGATGGGGTTTTCGGGGTTGGCGGATTTTGGCAGTGGTTGAAAGGGACGGTGATTTGGGTGGGCGTAATGATAGGTAACCGTCTTTTTCTTTTTCTTTTTTTTTGGTATTTCTTTTTAGGCTTTTTTTTGGATGAGTTTATTTGTTTAAGGGGGAAAAGATCATCTCGAAAAGACTTGTTTCATCGCTCAGTAAAAAAACAAGACGGGTGTAAAGATTCAATGGTCCCTTTCTTTTTGGGTGTAAAGATTCAATGGTCTCTTTCTCTGTATATATTTTAGTTTCATCTGTTTTACTCTTGGTTTCAATGCTTTTTCTCTAGGATTAGTTCTCTCTCTCTATTTTCTTCTGCACTCTTATTATCAACGATTTCTTCCCCTCGCTTCAATCTCAATTCTCATTCTCTCTCTTCAGTATCCGTTATTTGCTTTTCTCTCTGTACGTCTCACTTCGACCTACTGTCATCCGCAAGTAGACATTACCTTTTCAGTTTTTTACAGTTCATCTCTCGATCTCTTTTCCCCTTGTGTCTTTTGTTGCTCTTCTGCCCTTTCCCCCTTTCTCTCTCTAAGAAATTTCAAGTTACCTACTCTCTCTCTCTCTGCATCTGTGTAATTTATGTTGTCCAAGTAGTGTGCAAAGCTTTAAATGTACGAGAGGTACGTATGAATCGAGACATGCGGTTTTGGTGGCTTTGTTTCATTTGGTGACTACACTAAACAGCGTGCTGTGCCGTACTTTTTGTTAACTTCCTATAATGCCCCTCGTATCTCGGAAAATATCGGTAGAGCCCCCCACATTGCACGCCCAACTTTTAATTTATTCATGGCACAGAAAAATGGCATGTCCCTTGCCTTAAAGATTTGGGATTGATATCTTTTATAGAAGATATAGAATGCGGTTTATATTTTTAGTGCGTCTACTTTAAACAATCAAAGTAAAGTGAAATTATTTTCATTTGTAATTAAAATATTTAGAGCAAAAATATGAATCCTGCCGATCTAGATGTACTTTTAATCTTTGCAAATAGATGGTCTAAATAATATATTGCAAGTTGTTTAAATGACGTTTAATTTCCTTTTTTTATATTGTAGACCTTAAAGTCCATAAGATCATTTGGAAGATTTTTCAACGTCAAAATTTATGATGTCTTGTTTTCTATATAAATCTATTCCATATCAATTATAATCACAATTACGGTTGCTGATTAGGTGTAATGGGGCATTATTCTCTGGAGATCTTATATAACATCAATAAAGCCACGCCATATTTAGGTTGAGCGGGTTGCATCTTATATGTCCTGTGTGATTTGCGGAACCACTTGTGGGATTACAAATTTTTTTTTCATTTTTAGGTTGAGATGATCGATTAGCATATTTTATGAAATTAGAATTGTTTGTTACTAGAATTGAGGAGTGACTTAAAATAGCAGATTCGTAAGTCAGGTGGTTATTGTGGGCCCAAAGGTGCAGATTTGCAAGTCAAATATGGTTAGTTATTGTAGGCCCTCGGCGGAAGCACATTGGGTACCCCAATGCAACACTAACTTCGGAAACTCTTGTGCTGGCTGCAAATTTATTTGCTTCCCTAGGCTATAATAGCATTTCAAGTTTAAAAAGTAGGATCCATGACCACTTTGGATTGGTGTCTGGAAGATGTCGTACACAGGATATGTAAAATTTTGGAACTTTAAAATCTATTTTTCATATTCATGTTTGTCGAAGTTGGGTGTTGGATACTTAGCTTTCTTGACACCAAAATGTATACTTTCCAGCTAAATTTGAGATTCATCTTCAAGGAGTAGGTTCAACAATACAAAAATTGCATTTTCTGGTGAGATTTGAAGTACAGCTTTGAAATGTCTTACCTTGGTTTGAAATGTCTTACCTAGTCATCAATTTATTCATGATGCATACCACCTACATAAAAAATATCAATACTACCCACAAGCAAAATACGGGTGTGGCAATGGACCCGACAAGACCCGTGATCTGAAAGGGATATTCAACCTTAGGTTTAGTCCAAATTTTGGACCCGATATGTCGGGTTTGTTTCCAAAACTTGGACCTGAATACTGTTTAAGTCCAGGACCCAGCTCAAATGATACATATATTTATAAATATTGCCCATACATTTGTTTCTCAAGAATTTTCAGTTATTACGTAAAACAATAAAAAATGTGGCTATATGTAGGTATTCATAAACGTTAAGGGAAAAAAAAAAATTCAGTCATAAGGTGACGATAGACTCGATCAGACACGACAGGTAGACCTGACCTTAGGTCCGGGCATGATTCCAAAAGGTCAGGTCCGGATCCAAAATTTAGATCTGAATTCGGATGGGTCCAGGTCCTGCCAGACCCGACCTACCCGACCCGTTGCCTCCCCTAAAAAGACACTAAAGAGAGAGACATTATTGATGCTTCATTTGCTTGTTCCGTCCTCGTTTAACCCATCAATGAGAAAAGGGAGAAACTCACATTGGGCCTCACGAAAGGTTAAAAGATAGTGCAGATTCCTTAGGAACAAAGGCCAAAATTTGGAGGCGTGTGGAAAAGGAGGCTTAATGCCACCAATTTATGACAAAATTTTCACCAAATTTGGGGGAGAAAACAGTTGAGTCTTCTGCCCTTTTTTTATCTCTTTCCACTAATTTTGGCTACACTTTCGAGGCCTTCTTTATTGGGCCAATCGAGGAGGACGCAACAAGGTTGCGGAGGGAGAACGGTACCGGGGGCACTACTGTTATTTAATGTTTTTCTGGGGCCGGTTTTCGAGGTCCTTTTATATGGGTGAGCTCGAGAAGGTCTCTTTCGTAATAAAGATTCATTACGAGGTCGGTTTCCAATTAAGTGAAACTCTTTGGATTAGGAGGAGTGGATTTTTTTTTCTTGTGGGGTCCGAGATTCATGCAGATACGGAATCACAGTTTTCACTTTATTTTACTTTTACTTCTATTTAAGCCAAAAAGATATTCTACTCCATCGGGAGTATACTGTCTAGTTACTCCTTCAAGTAAAACCCTACATAAGATCATTGGCCCAATTTTTTGGGATTTAACCTGTTTATCATAAAAAAAATATATAAAATGAGACCATTTACTTTTGATACTAAGTGAAACATTAATCTTGATCATTAAATGTAAAATCAGGTGGCTCCAATTATTTTATTGATCAAGCTCAAAGTTTTGAAATTTTTTTTTCGAACTTTGTGATATCCTATCAAACTTCACATGGATGGTTATAAGTAATTCTGACCACTTTATATTAAAAATAAATGATCTCATTATATATGACATATATTGACTTTAATAAAAATAATTTTTCAATTACACCGTTTAAACACTTGAAAAAAAAATAAGGTCTAAAGATTGAATAAAAAATGCCTTAAGATTGAATAAAAACTATTCAATTTTTAGAGGATGAATATACGCGAAAGAGTACTCAAATTTCAATTTGGTTTTTGAGAATAACCATCGGTTCGAAGATGATTAACAAAATTTTAGATTAAAAAAATCCCGATAATGACTTAAGAAGTAGAAGCAAACTATGCTCCCGAAGGAGCATAGTATACGTACTCTTATTTTAATTTGTTATTCTAATTTTTAAAGTATTTTATTTTCATATTTTATTTTTATGTGTAGTCATATTTTATTTTTTTTTGGGTTTCGTTTTTGGCTATTCAATGCTTTGTGGCTTTTGCTGATGGGGGGCAGGCCTTGGGAATTGAAACTATTTGCCGCCGGCATTCTTGGTAGTAAAAGAAAAAAAAAGAAGTAAATTTAGACTCTGTTTCTTGAAAAGATAATTTATAAATTATGAGAATAGGAGATAAGAGGCATTGGAAGACATTACACTTAAAAATAGTGTATCATTTCCCATGATTTGAAAAACCATAAATGCTTTTTACTTTTTTTAAAGATAGATGGGACTTTAAAAAACTTGCATTTACAATAAATTTATCATAACTTAAAAAGATCAACTATGTAACATTTTATAGGTCGTAATTTGAAAAAATTCATGACCCCTTTGGATATCTCATTTAATGGTTTGTTTGAAATTCAAGTGAAGGAATGATAAGATAAGGTTAAAAGAACATGAGCCACATGCAAGATAGTTCCAAGTGTAGTTTGATAAATTCCCATTCATTTTTCTTGTGGGGTGGGTTGGGAGTACCCTTTTAATTATCATGAATCGTGATTGAAAAAACCAATAAAAGATTGCTTTTTTAAAATGACTTTGTATTTATCATGAAAATGTTCATTATCAATTTCCTTGTTTGGGGTTGTCGGTTGGGAGATGGGGAATAAATGAGGACACCATCACATGAATGTCAAGTACGACAATTTTCTTCAATTTTCGAGATTGACTGGTGTTTAGAAGTTTGGCGATTTTTTATCCGGATTGCTGATCTAGATGGGTAATCAACTGTGCACAGGTCTTGGACCCGTTCTTCAATAAAACTCTTAATTTATATATTTTTTTTAAAATTTTTTTTTATATATGGTTGCAATCTTAAAGTGTAGAATTAATGTGTTGACTAAAAAATCCACCAGGTTGTTTTTGACAGTGAAAAAGCCTATAATTGATTATACAGACATTGAGATTTATAAATATTTAAAACAAAAAAAGATTTTGAGTTCGAAAAAAGTGTATCTTACCGCGTATTATCTCGACGGTTTTTTTTCAAAGTGTTTGTAGATCTACTTGATTTGAATAATTTTTTAGATTTTTAGATTGTATAGTTAGATATGAAAATATATTCTCAAACTCTCTTAAAAAATTTTGACACTAAAATTATATTTATAATAAAATTTAGAGTTGTGCCTTAATTTGATTATTTAAGGTTGCAACCTTATACAAAACCCTTTTTTTAAGCTCATTAAATTTCTTTTTTAGGTCCTTCCTTAACTCCTATCTCATAAACTCCCATTTTAATTTTTATTTATTTTTACTATTTCTCTGAATGAGACTAATCCAAATTGTTGATCCAACAATTGGATACGTATCTATAAGGGAACACGTCAAAAAAATCCATAAATCATTTTTACATTTTAAATATAACTAGAATTTTACGTTTGAAATATTATCTAAAGATTTATTTTTGGGGTGGTTGGTTGGGATTCGAGGAATAAATAGCGGTATAAATGGAAGTCTCTGTCTCTAAATTTGTGACATGGGGCTGCGGGTTTATAATTGTTTGGGCCTGAGGGTGTTAGAGGCGATGACATGTAATAGCTGACAGGGCGACCGCCACGTGGATAAAATTTCTCTCTCTAGAGTGTATATTTAGATTTTAGAGAGAGAAAGGAAAGGGGTCATTACCTTGGGTTTTGCCACACACGTCTCGTTCGTTTTTAAAGGAGTAATCAAAGAGCACGAAGCTTGCTTTGTTGCCCGTCTCTCTGCTTTCACTTGGTTTTGTCGGATGAGAGAGAAACAAGACTGCTTCTTTTGTTTTCTATGCACTTAACTGTTGAGGAGAGAGAGAGGAGGCGTGTTTTGCCCTTTCTCTTTCTACTTTTAATCCACAGAGACAGAGGCCAACGAGTGGTGTTATTTTCTTTTTTCAAGAATCAAGAAAGACAAAGTGGGGTCTGAGTAGTGTTATTTATTTATTTTATTACATGTTTCAGTCGTTTGATAGGAAGCATGTTCCTTCCTCTTTTTTTTTTTTTTTAGGGATGTCATTTCTGCTATACCA